CCCTGCAGGTGCAGGTAGACGCAGCAGCAGCACACCAGCAGCAGCGCAGCAGCAGCAGCAGTGCGCCGCAGCAGCCGGCGGCAGAGCCGCGCTGCTGCTGCGCGCAGCTGTCTGTACACCCGAACCAACAAGCTCATTTCCCCTTCTGCACAGCCCCTGCCATTGCAGCAGAATGAAAAGAATAAAAGAAGTGAATAAAAATAAAAGAAGTGAGAGAAGAAGAGGGGCTTTCGGGACTCCTTCGGGCTGCTGCTGAGGTGTACAGGCAGCTCCTCAGGTGTACAGGCAGCTCCTCAGGTGTGCAGACTCCTCCGGTGTACAGACAGGTGCAGCAGCAGCGCCAACTGCAGCTGCTGCTGCAGCATCGCAGCAGCAGGCAGCACGACAGCAGCGGGGAAGCCGGAACAAAGCGCACTCGGGAGGGATTAGGGGGAATTAAATGCCAAAAAACAATTTAAATGCAATTATAAATGCTTTTATTCACGTTTGTTAAAGAATTTAACTCAAAACGTCGAAAACGGCGCATGCAGCACCGCCGGGGCCTGCGAGCTGTACAGACACCCGAGCTGCGGCTCGCGTCTGCATGTACTTCTTTTGAATTTACGTTCAATAAATATTCATTTTAATTAATTTATGGTTTTAAAACATATTTAATGCATACTTTCGCAACAATTGCAGCAGTTAGAGTGCATGCGCTGCGCTGCTTCGCCTCATTGATGTCTAGTTCTCTTCATTCACTGTCCGTCGCGGAGAAACTTCATTTCTTTCCAATTTGAAATAAATAAAAGGAAACAGTTCATTCCTTTTCAATTTAAAACGAATAGAATAACAAAAAAAAGATTTTAAATGACTAGTGACTTCCACTTTTTACTTCTTCACTTCCCGGCTGCTGCCGCCCCCCTGGACTGTACGTACACCTGAAACTCCGCAGCTCTTTCCTTCGTTTCTTTAATTCCGCAAAACACTTTTAAGTGTTGCCCTTAAATGCAAATCAAAATAAATAAACAATTGAAATAACTCCACAATGCTAATTGAATAAATAAATTAAAAAGAGAAAAGAGCTGCTGCTGCTGCTGCTGCTGACCCCAGACACAGAAGACAGCCAAAGCTGCAGCAGCAGCAGCAGCAGCAAAACAAGAACGGAGGAAACAAACAAACAAGAGCCAAGCAAACAACAATAAACAAATCAATAAACAAGCTTCAAATATTTAACAAACAAACAAATAAATAAATAAATAAATAATACAAATATAAACGAAAGATGCCGCTGCAGTTCAAATGCACAGCAGCACAGCAGCAGCAGCAGTTTTGTGTCTTCCTTTGAGGCTATGGGCCGAGGCTGGCCCGTGGCTGCTACAAGAGAAAAAAGAAGATGAGGTGCAGCAGCAGCAGCAGCTGCTGCTGCTGCTGCTGCTGCTTCAGCAGCAGCAGCAGCAG